TGCTGTCCTTGGCTGCTTCTCATACTCCTACCATTAGCCACTACCACTACTACTACTGCTGCTACTACTACTACTACTACTACCACTACCACTACCACTACCACTACCACTACCACTACCACTTCCACTACCACTGCCACTGGCGCTGCCACTGCGCTCATCCTGGTACGTTACTACTGCTGCTACCAGTCTTGCAGAATCGATACTGTGGAATACTCCAGCAGTCACTGCAGCGGTTGCAACAGCACGTACCGGCCTTTGGGGTCATGACAAGGAGCTTGGAGACCTTTCAAGCAGCCTAAATCAGGCTTGAAACGCTTTTGGTATACTGACGGGTGCTCGATCTCAAACACGGCTGCTAGCCCTACCAATCGCGGGCAGCCCTCTGAGTGAAAGCGGGGGAAAATGGTCCATGGTGCCCTACATTTCCACCTGTGCATTGACAGCTGGACAGACTACAACCACCATTTATATCACCGTGGTCGGCATGATTGTCACAGTCAGTGACCACGATCATCATGACCCTCACGGTCATCATCATCATCATCATCGTCGTCGTCATCGTCATCATCATCGGTGACCTTGCTGGCAACCCGATTGGGAATGTTGCAGGGTCAACTAACTTGCTCGGCTGGGGCAGAGGACCCTGGCCTGAGGGAAGGCCAGGCCCATGGTCGCGAAGCCACAGACTAAGCCCATCAGCCTTCAGGGTCTTTGCAAGGTCTTTGGAGGCGATACATGCAAATATCTTGCGACGGAACCGACCGGCACAAGGGAAACTTGCGAAGGTACGCGGTACCCTGTGGACCTTACAGAGGCATTCATGGCTTCTTGACTCAAGGCTGCATCCCATCTGAAGGCCACTCGCTAGGCCCGACCCAACAATAGACGTCTTCGCAGATACTGCAGCGAAGGAAAGGCTGAAGCTGCACAAATCTAGGAGGCTCCTGAGATCTCAATTGATTCTGCATCTTCTTCAGGATCCGTTTGGAAGCCTCCTCTCACACCTCATGATCTACTTGCAGTCTGGGCTAGTACGACTTCAGGCCCCATAGCCCTTCACACCATCTTTGCTCACTATGCGGACAAGCTGCGGCGAAGAGGCGCCTCCCAGCAATCCCAAGGTTGTTCATGGGCATCAACTCGTCACCCTTTCCTCTCTCTTCTACCGTGATCTTCACCAATTAAATCTGCGAAGAGCTCTGGTGTTTAAGAGGGATCTTGCTGCCCGCGACAGGCGCCTATCATCCCAGCCAGCATGGACCGCGTCAGCGAGCCACCAACCGGAGCAGAGCCCGCCATGCCGGAAGCGATACCTCTGAGAGGCTCTGACGATCAAAAGGGGTTCCTTTTTTACAACACTAGGGAATCTGGCAGGAATCCCTTCTTGAACAAATTCCGGGGCAGGATTCGTAGATCACAATTCACGGGAGGCCAGTTCTGAAGCCCGTGCTGCGTTTCCCGGCCTTGTGCAATAGGTCTTGTGGTGGGCATTGCTCATGGCCAACGGCCCGGCCCCGCTTTGAAGACAGCAGGGGAACTTCCAACTTTCTTGATTGTTCGCATTGTTCGTTGCCGCGGCGAGTTGAGCTTCAACACTTCGATGGTCTTTAGAGCCTCACGTGCCCTTGTATTTTGTGGTTTGCGACATGAAGCAGAACTAGTGAAGGCCTGCCCTGCGCCAATTCCAAGCCCGAGGCCCGACCCCAGCTCCACATACTCCACCGGGAGCTTATTCTATCAGCAGGAAAACCCTATCCTATTATTACCCTAAAACCGGAGCAAAGCCTCAGCCTAAGACCCTGCTTCACACCCGCACTCTGAAAAGAACCCCATGCTGAAGGGCCTAGGGAGTCTGGGCGGAAAAATGCAGGCGAGGCTCAGCCGATCCCTTGCCCTGCCAGCTCCCGGGTCGGGCGGCTGCCCCCTGGGGCTGGCCGCTCGGCCTCTGCTTGCGAGAATTGAATGGGCAAGAAAGGAGAGCTCCAAGAGATTTTCGAGCATTAATAAGGTTTACGTACAGTTTCAGGTGTGACCGTGTCCAAGGCCTAGGGCCTAGGGCTGTGAGCGAATTTTGTTTGTGGATCTCTCTGTCACCATGCCATGTTGGCTCAGTCGGTGTCCGGTCTCGCCTTCCGGAGCACAAGGAGGATTTCTCAATTCTCAACCCTCATCATCCCACCAACCCCCCCCCAAGAGCGATTTGGACAGGTGAACTAACATACATGGCCTTCGACTGCACATGTCTCGCGATGGTGGCACATCTCCGTCCGTTTCAGCATCCGCGTGAGACTGTCTGCGCGGGACGACAATGACCATCAGCACTCCAGTTCCTTGTCCTTTCGGCTAGTGCAACCACCATCACCCGCCAATCACCGCAATAACTGCAACAAAGATTGAAGGGATACAAGATTATTAGTGTCCGCCGACTGAAGAAACCGGGCCTGGACAGAAGCAGTAGTGATCCTAATGGGAGCAGTGTCAATACACGAGAGCAGCAGCGGTCGTCGTCGGCCAGGTGGTCCGGATCATGGCAGCAGCAGCGATACCAGTCAACACCGACAGTTCGAGCAACGAATTAACCAACAATACCCACAATATCCCACAATAACACGCATAGTCATGAAGCATGAACATCCAAAGTGACAAATATAAATGCAGCAACGCCAGCAACAGCACTACCGGCGCAGGGAGTATAGACTGTTTGCAGCACAGCTAGTACTGGTAGCGGTAATCAGCACGTCACAATAGCATTGGCAGTCGATGCAGCACGATGAAAAGTCATAATGTTCACTGTTCTGCAAATACAGCAACTCCCCACCTCCACAGAAATGATGGCCAGGTAGTCAACTCCGGCGAAGGCTACAGCAGACCTAGACTGCCGGTTAGTTCGGCATAATGATGTTTCGGGGGGGGGGGGGGGCTATTCAGCGCGCAAGCAAACTAGCAAACTACAAACCCTGCTCAGTCTTGTGGGATGTTTGTGTCATGGCCCAGACTAACACCAGCAACGTACCGCTACGTTTTTGCGTCAAGAACAAATCATATGTTGCACCTTCTCCGCACGGCTGACAACCATGCCGCATCGAGAGGCAATTTCTTGTGGGCATGCCAAGGCTTGGGATCGCTGGAAGCAGAGAGAATCCCAGCTCAGTCAAGCCGCAGCACGGCATACGGCCAGCCGCCCAGGCGCTGCACGGTTTCAGCCTGAGGTTGGCTTGTGGGCGTCGCCCGGCTGGACTAGATCGATTTGGAAGCACGAGTCTCTAGTTGAGGCATCGTGCGTGGATCAACTCCGAGAAGGTCAGTCGAGCAAGCAAGCAGCTCGAGGGCTGCTCAAGCTCTGGCTGTTTGTAGTGATGCCCGCACTATGAGCACCCCTCATAGGCAACTCGGCACCGTACGATTGGCATGTCCCAGGGATATTGTCGGATCCAACTGGTCAGTATAACCTCACGACGCAACAGCCACCACGGCGGAGTGCAATCGTTGCAGCCTACCAGCGCGACCATTCAAATCACTGGAGCCGGGGCGGAGTGGCCATCACTCCCAGCATTTCAGTTGCCTATTACCTATTATCAATTTGTATGTCATTCCTGCCACTGGGTGCCACAGTGGTCATCGCTATCACTTGTAAAAGCATGTCATTCTCGTTTCAGGCTCATACACTAGTGCCACGACTTGTTGCAGTCGTTGCTCTTGTTCCTACAGTCTTACAGTTGACATCGCTGGTGTTACTTTGGCAACCAGGTGGAATTCTGAGCCACTTGCCGTTGGATCTTCCAAGAAGGAGTGGTGCCTAAGCTCTCATGCACACCATCCGAGGATCCAAATAATTTGGGTCTGCATCATTAGAGTTCACATATTTTGTGAAAGTCATAAATGCAACGGATAATTAATTAATGTTCTCGCGAGGGTAACCTGAGAACTGCACACCCCGAAACCAGGCTAACGTACAGACGACGTCAAAAAGCTGAACAGCAAGCTGTCTGTGCTGGAGACGTTGCTTGGCACCGCGGGGCGGCTCACCGACCACGTCCCCTTGATACCTGGGTCAACAGGACATTCGACAATGACACTAAGATTGACAGAATGAAGAGGTTATTCGTTTCACCAAAATCGGCTTCGAGCGAAGGAAGACTCAGCTAGAAGCCATGCGGCTCACGAGCTGAGGAGAGAATGGTTCCCAATGCCGTTGCCGCGACCACCTTTGGGCCGCTCATGGTCGGTATCTGAAGGCTTCAGGTTGAGGATTTGCATTTAAGCGCTCATGCATGGGAGCCCCCCTGCAGTCCTTTGACGAGCGTGGTCCAAATTCAAGCAGGACAGCGGACAGAAGAACAGAAGTATCCTGATACCTAGAACTTGCTGACCAGATCCCACTGTGGGCGCCCGTCTTTCCCCCCAAGTGTTCGCTCCTCCACGCCGGGAAGTCGCAGCAGGCGCTTCAGCAGAGACCTGGGTCTCGAGCTGGGCGCTTTATGGTAGCATTTCACTTAGACCGTGAACACCCATAACCCCAATCGTCCCCAATCGTCCCGAATCCCTGGACCCATCGGGACCACAAGCTTAGAGCTGGGCCAATGCCTCCATAGACACAAGCATGAGGGGGATAATTGCAGCCACGGAACTTGCTGCGCATGACCTAAGGTCATGTAGTTAAATGCGAAAGAAAGGGTAGCCATCCAGTTTTGATCAGTTTCAGGTCGACGATGTGGAGGCTATGCACACTCTTATCGTCTCTCAACAATCACGAAACATCATGACTTGCTCTAAAGACATATTGTCGAAACTGACAGAATCGATGATATCATGTTCTCCTGGATGCAGACTGATCTTGGAGCTTGACTGCCCATGATTCGCATTCCCACAATAAACCGCCCTGTCTTGGTTCAACATGTTGTGCGCTGTTGTATTTCTGGTTTGCAGATGTCTTTCTTGGCTGCTAACCGTATAGATTCATCGTGTGCTCTTACACGACGGAAGTGAAAGCCGAACACCAGCAGCGGGGAGACTCTCTGAAACCGCTGGCACACAAGAGATTGTCACTAGATGTGCTTGACCTCCATGGCCTGATGAGGAGGCCTAGGACTAGGATGTGTGGTCAACCGGCAAATCCGGGGGCGGGTTTGGGACCGCCAGTTCGTTAAGGAATTGAGATCAACCGCCGTCGCCTGCTCTAAGAAAAGATTGAAAACCCTGACCCTAAGGGCAAGCTTTCCTGAATTCGAATTTGCCCTCCTGTTTCCCGAATTGAGGTTTGTTCGCTCACTTGGCCTCTACACCAGAACAACCGAATGTTCAATGCAAAAAGCAGTTACGAAGCGGATACTAGCTCCGACGCCTGGCACGCCTGAAGCCTACAGCGACGTCCATGTTTGCTTCATTTTGCACTGAAGCTTTGCATTTGCAAAGCAAATCTCGCACCACTGCCCGAGATGGCTCAGAGAGCACAAGCGGTGGACTTCACACAGAGAAACCTCTCTTCAACAGCCGCGGACTGTGGACCCATTCGACACTAAACTTAGCCGGCCGTATTCCGGGCTCAGAGGCGGCGCAATGCTTCAAGCAAATCGTGCAACCGCAGGACGCTCTCTTCCTTGGTTTCCGTGACCACTAGGTCCGAGACAGGTACAGGCGCGGCTCAGTGACTGGCGGGAATGCCGAAAAAACGTGCAATCGAGCGTCACTCTCTATCCCGGCTTGAGGAGGCTCCTGCCAGAAAGTCGGACAAACTAACTTTGCTGCGTGTTGCTTCATGTGAATATCCCAACTCCAAGCTCGCAAGGCTTAAGGGAGCGACAGGGGTCCCAGCAAGCTCGAGGGTCAACCCGACAGCCATGGAGGCCTCTGATGCGGTCCTTTGCCGCTTCTTTGAAGGCTCTCCTGGTGCGAGGCGAAGCGGTTTATGTAAGCACTGCCCTTCAGCAAGTGGAATCCTCTCTGAAAGGACACGCGAGCTCTAAAAAAACCTTCCCAAGAGACCTGTGCTGTCCGGCGCATTGGGTGCTGCCTTGGAAAGGAAGGCAGAGAGCAAAAGCAACTTTTCACTCAGGAGAAGTCCACGTCCACGCAGGCCCGCAGCAGACCCACGTTAATCGAAACTTTCACAGGGCTCTGCACCTGTGTATGTCTTTATGTCTGTGCGGCTGCATGCTTGTACGTCTGTATGTCTCTGTGCATGTATCTTCCTCTATGTAGGTATGGATGGACACACGGATGGATTGATACATATGTGTATGTGTGTCTGCCTGTCTGTCTCCCTGCCTGCCTGCCTGCCTGTCTGTGTGTCTGTACATATGTATGCATGTATGTATGTATGTATGCATGCACGCATGGATGTATGGATGGATGGACGGATGGCTGGATGGATGTATGTATGTATGTATGTATGTATGTATGTATGTACGCATGTATGTAGGTGTGTATGTATGTATGTATGCATGCATGCATGCATGCATGCATGCATGCATGCATGCATGCATGCATGCATGTATGTATGTGTGTATGTCTGTGTGTATATGTGTGTGTATGTGGACATGCATGTACATGCATATTTACATATACATATACATATACATATATATATATATATATGGGTGTGTATATGCATATGTATATATGTATGTATACGGATATGTGTACGTACATGTACGCATACATGTAGATGCACATGCGAGCATGTATGCCTGTGTGCGCATATGCGAGAGGGAGAGGGAGAGGAAGGGGAGAGGAAGGGGAGAGGAAGGGAAGAGGGAGACGGGACACGTAGAGAGGGAGAGAGGGAGAGCGTAGAGAGGGAGAGAGTGAGAGAGGGAGAGGGAGAGGGAGAGGAGGGAGAGGGAGAGGGAGAGCGAGAGGGAGCGGGAGCGGGAGAGGGAGAGGAGAGAGACGGAGACGGGAGAGGAAGACGGAGAGGGAGACGGGAGGAGAGGGAGAGGGAGAGAGGGAGAGAGGGAGAGAGGGAGAGAGGGAGAGAGGGAGAGAGGGAGAGAGGGAGAGACGGAGAGAGGGAGAGACGGAGAGAGGGAGAGAGGGA